TGTCATCATCAGTTATTTCTAAACTACTTGCATTTAAAGGTTTTATCATACCCCTATCAACTATAGCTAGATTATCACCGTGTTTCGCTAGTATATCTAATGCTCTCTGTAATCTAGAACACTCTCCTGATTCAGTCAATTCACACAGTTTACCAAATGTGCCTTCTGAAGTCATTTTATCATCTAATTCTTGTAAGCCTGCTTTCTCACATAGTACATTAATAGAAGGATCAAAGAATTTCTTCCTGGATATATAAACACATGCCATAGTTATAGGATTATTTTCTATTAATCTATAAAATGCATCTTGTTTATCTTTACTGTGTAATTCGCCTGCTACTTCTTTAATTAGATCTACATTTCGATCTGTCTGTTTTATAGATTCTATTATTGTATCTGTTATAGTATCTTCATTATATTCAATATCATTAGAAATAATTCTATTATATATTTTCACATACAGTATATTCTGTACTAGCCTTTCTAATGGTTTTGATAAATCTGTGAATATTCTTTTTTTTTGTTAATTTCTGTTACTATGTTATATAACGTGTTTACATCTTCTTCTTCCACCTTTCCTTGGTTTTTACTGAATTTATTCTTTACTTCTTTTCTTAATTCGTTCGGATCAATATTATATGTCATATAAATTTTAATAATATTCTTTATATTTATACTTTAAAAACGGAAAAATATAAATTATTTATAAAGTTCTTATTTAAATATTACGTTAATCATTAACAGACTTTAATTAATAAATATTTTATTGGTGTATATAATTAATTCTAAGTGAGTACTCTACCGGATATACTGCTAGTAATATAAGTACTATTATAGTATAATATATCATATTAATATATGATGACACCACCACACAGACATGGGCCATGAGGGCATTCTGTCAGTGTACTATCTTGTACAGTGATACTGCCTAGGCAATGTGTGTTAGTATCTCTGCATCAGTATACCAACTTATGATTGTTTAACTGGAGTACATCCCCAAATTTAGGGGTGATTATGGGAAGCATTGATGGGTAACTTCAGTACTAGGCCTAACTCAGTCGTATTATTAATACTCCGTGTCTATGCTGGCTTAGACTGTTTCTTAATACAATAAAGAAGACCTCTTCATTCACTTTCTTCTTTATTTTGACTACGTGGCAGAGCGGTGGTGTTACTTCCTTGTGAGTACGTTAATAATAAATAGGAGTTTACACTTACAAGGAGAAGGGGAAAATCAACTGTGTAATAAGTTATGATATAGTGTAATAAGTTATGATATAGTATAATAAGTTGTATTCATTGTGTAATAAGTTATGGTGTATAGTATTAATATTAGTATATTATGTAATAAGTTGTGTTCATTATGTAATAAGTTATGGTGTATAGTATTAATATTAGTATATTATGTAATAAGTTATAGTATACTATATTAATAGTGATATGTTATGTAATAAGTTATGGTGTATAGTATTAATATTGATGTATTGTGCAATAAGTTGTGTTCATTGTGTGATAAG